AATGCAAAAGGTTCAAGACAGAGAGAGAATCTTAAAAGCACCAAGAGAAAAGCAGTTAGCTACCTACAAGGGAGTTCCCATAAGGCTGTCAGCTGATTTCTCAAAATTTTGCAGGCCAGAAGGGAGTGGCAAGAAATATTCAGAGTGATGAAAAGCAAGAACCTACAACCAAGATTACTCTATCCTACAAAGCTGTCATTTAGAATCGATGGTCATATAAAGACTTTCCCAGACAAGAAAAAGTTAAAGGAGTTCATCACCACCAAACCGTTATTATATGAAATGATGACGGGTCTTTTTGAAGAAAAAGATAAAATATATGAACAAACAAAATGGTAATGAATACATATGTATTGACAATGGAATCTACAAACAAAATGAACAGGCAGAACAGAAACATTCTCATAAATACAGAGAACATTTTGTTGGTTGCCAGATGGGAGGGGGGTTGGGGAAATGGGTGAAAAAGGTGAAGGGATTAAGAAGTACAAATTGGTTGCTAGACTGACAAACCTCAAAGGTTTGGGGGGGTGGGAAGAAATAAACCAAAGAACTTATATGCATAACCAATGGACACAGACAATAGTATGGGAAAAGGTGGGAGGGGGGTGGGAATGGAGAGGAGGGGGTCAATGGGGGAAAAATAAGGAACATCTGTATACATACAACAATAAAGATTTTTAAAAAATAATAATAACTGTTGAATGAATGAATAAAGTATGAATGGTGTTTCAATACTAAAAAAGTAGGAAGGGGACTTCCGGTCAAGATGGGGGCATAGGTAAACTCCGTCCGCGCCTCCTCTTACAATCACATCAAAATTACAACTATACTACAGAACAACCATTATTCAGAACCGCCTGACATGGAGCTAAATGGAAGTCCTACAACTACGAAATTAAAGAAGAAACCACATCAAGACTGGTAGGAGGGGCAGAGGCGCGGATGGGCTGGTCGCACACCCACATATGGCAGATAAAAATCAGCTGTGAAGATCCTCCCTGAGGAGTGAGGGGTCCCCATCCTGCACTAGGCTCCCAGCTCAGGGTTCCAGTGCCAGGAAGAGAAGTCCCCATCACTTCTGGCTATAAAACCAGGGGGAACTGAGGCTGAGGGAGGCTTAGGCTTCTGGAGCCCCAGGCAATTCCTCTTAAAGGGCCCTCATTCCTTCTGGGCTCCAGCATTGGGGAGACAGCTTGAAAGGCACCAGAGACATATGGGGAAGAACTAAGTTGTTCAGCATTAGGGTGAGAGCTGGAGGGGCAGCTTTCTCCTAGACAGACTTTTTGTGAGAGGCTGTTGTTCCTTTGGTGAGCCCTTCCCTGGGGCAGCAGACAGCAGCCAGGTCTGGGACTCCAGCAACCTGGCTCACACTGTTAACCCTACCCTGGTGGTTCCCTGAGTCCCTGCCTCAACCAACTTTCAGGCCCACCCAAGCTGCTTCCAATGGCTTTACCACAGGATTGGCCTGTCTTGGATCCTGCTTCAGATTTTCCTAAAATCTTTCAAACAAGCAGCACCTGGTCTCAGCGAGCCTCAGTGGCACCAGGCTTGGCATTAGAAGCAGCCAACCTTGGTTCACAAGTTGGCTTTTCCTGGGCACCTCCAAGCCCAGCACAAGAAGCAGCCATCTGCAGATTACTCTGTAGCTTATGCAGGGTGGCCCCAGGTAGAACACAGGCAGTGGCTGACCTTGCCTCAGAGCCAGCATACCCAGTGGACAGCTTCAGACCACATCAAAGCGCCACCACCCAACCACCTCCACAAGTGAAGCACTCAAGGAGTGGACTCAGTGGATACCCGAGCCTGCTGAAGTAAGTCTTGCTCTGTATGGTGAGCCCTACACAGCTGATCCTCCAAGGGAGTCAGAGGTCAGTGGTCAGTGGGAACAGCCAGTCCTTGCAGCTAATCAGCCTGAGTAAATCCCTCCCATTGACATGCCAACAGGAATCAAGACTCAATTACAACAAAAGAATGTACAGTCCACACGAGGGATGCACCTCAAGGGCCCAGCTGGGGTGATCTGGGAGGCTGTGCCACTGGACCCTACAGGACACCTACAACAATAGGCCACTCTACGAAGCCTAGGAGACACAGCAATTCTACCTAATACATAGAAACAAACACAGGGAAGCAACCAAAACAGGAGACAAAGAAACATCCCAAGTGAAAGAACAGAACAAAATTCCAGGAAAAGAACTAAACAAAACAGATTAACAATCAGATACAGAGTTCAAAACACTGGTTATAAGGATGCTCAAGGAACTTAGTGAGATCTTCAAGGGACTTAAAGAGAATTCCAAGGAACTTAGTGAGAACATCAATAACATAAAAAAGGACCAGTCAGAAATGAAGGATGCACCAAGTGAAATAAAGAATAACTTACACTCCCTGGCTGGTTTGGCTCAGCGGTTAGAGCATCGGCCTGCGGACCAGAGCGTCCTGGGTTCAGTTCCTGCTAAGAACACGTACCTCGGTTGCAGTTTGGGCCCGGCCCCAGTTGGGCTCGTGTGGGTGGCAACCACTTGATGTGTCTCTCTCACATCAATGTTTCTCTCTCTCTCTTCCCCCCTCTATCTGAAGATAAATGCAAAAATGTCCTTGGGTGAGAATAAAAATAATAATAATAATAATAATTTACAGCCCCTGGCTGGTTTGGCTCAGCGGTTAGAGCATCGGCCCACGGACCAATGAGTCTCAGGTTCAATTCCAGTCAAGGGCACATACCTTGGTTGCGGTTCATCCCCAGCCCTGGGTGGATCATGTGGGAGGCTCTATCGCATCGATGTTTCTCTCTGTGTCTCTCTCTCTCCCTCCCTCCCATTCTATCTGATGATAAATAGAAAAGTATCCTCAGATGAGGAATAGAAAAAAAAAAAAAAAGAATAATTTACAGGAAATCAGTAGTAGAGTAGGTGAAGCCAAGAAGCAAATCACTGAATTGGAATATAAGGAAGCAAAAAAACACTCAATCAGAACAGCAGAAGAAAAAAAGAATTTTAAAAAATGAGGACAGTGTAGGAGCCTCTGGGACAACTTCAAGCATACCAACATTCACATCATGGGGGTGTCAGAAGTAGAAGAAAGAGAGCAAGAAATTGAAAACCTGTTTGAAAAAATAATGACAGAAAACTTCCCTAACTTGGTGAAGGAAACAGATGTACAAGTCCAAGAAGCACAGAGAGTCCCAAACAAGATGAACTCCAAGAGGCCCACACCAAGACACATCATCAATATACTAAAAGTTAAAGACAAAGAGAGATTCTTAAAAGCAGCAAGAGAAAAGCAGTTCATTACCTACAAAGGAGCTCCCATAAGATTGTCAGCCAATTTCTCAAAATAAACTTTGCAGGCCAGAAAGGAATGGCAAGACATATTCAAAGTGATGGAAAGCAACGACCTACAACCAAGATTACTCTATCCTGCAAAGCTATCATTTAGAATCGATGAACATATAGAGTTTCCCAGACAAGAAAAAGCTAAAGGAGTTTATCACCACCAAACCAGTATTATATGAAATGTTGGAGGGTCTTCTTGAAGGAGAATAAAAATATGAACAATAAAATGGCAATAAATATATATCTATCAAGATTTGAGTCTACAGACAAAATGAGCAAGCAGAACAGAAACAGATACAGAGAACTTTTTGTTGCTTGCCGAATGGGAGGGGGTTGGGAGGATGGGTGAAAAGATGAAGGAATTAAGAAGTACAAATTGGCCCTGGCCGGTTTGGCTTAGCGGTTAGAGCGTCGGCCTGCGGTCCTGAGAGACCCCGGTTCAGTTCCCGCTAAGGGCGCGTACCTCGGTTGCAGTTTGTCCCCGGCCCTGGTTGGTCGTGCGGGTGGCAGCCACTCGATGTGTCCCTTTCACATCGATGTTTCTCTCTCTCTCTCTCTGTTCCTCTCTCTCCCTCCCACTCTACCTGAATAAAAAATGGAAAAATGTCCTCGGGTGAGGATAAAAAAAAAAAAAGTACAAATTGGTTGTTAGACTGATGAACCTCAAAGGGAAGGGGGGAGGGAGAGCAGGATTGGGGAGGAGAGGGTCACTGGGGGAAAAAAGGGGGACATCTGTAATACATTCAACAATAAAGATAAGTTAAAAAAAAAAAAAGACAGCCCTGGCCAGTTTGGCTCAGCGGTTAGAGCGTCGGCCTGCGGTCCGGAGAGACCCGGGTTCGGTTCCCGCTAAGGGCACGTACTTCGGTTGCAGTTTGTCCCCGGCCCTGGTTGGTCATGCGGGTGGCAGCCACTCGATGTGTCCCTTCACGTCGATGTTTCTCTCTCTCCCTTCCTCTCTCTCCCTCCCATTCTATCTGTACAAAAAATGGAAAAATATCCTCGGGTGAGGATAAAAAAAAAAAAAAAAAAGACAAATAGCTTCCAGGACAAATGTCCAAAGTGTCGCAAAATAAAGAAGGATAAAATAAACCTTGATTGTAAAATTTTAAAAAATGAATCAACTGATGAATGCATGAATAAATGGAACAACAAATTGAAAAAAAAATACAAAAAAACAAAAAAGTAGGAAGGACATGAACTAAAAATACAGTATGTAGAAAGGGCTTAATATGAAACATGTCCATCTTCTGAAAAGCTCACTCAGTACAGGTCCTTAATTTTCCCCTTTTGTCACAGACTAGAAAAAATCAGGTCAAGGAGAGGCTTCTAGGGAGCACTGCCCAGTTCCACCATCCAGAGATTCAATGGTCAGCATATCCAAAGATGTAAGAAGGGAAGAGTTTTGGCCCAAGTGGCCTTTTGCTATCAACAAGGAGTATTCACTATAAACCATACTGTGCAGAGTCAGAGCCTGAAGTATAATTGTTAAAAAACCTGTACCCAATTGAAAAAAAAAAAGAGCACACTGGTCTCGGGCTGCCAGGGAGCCCTGAGCTGAACTCAGGCCAGTTCCATAAAGACAAACCTTTGGTTCCTCTCGCTTTCTTGCTGCACTTGCACAGTTGGGGTGCCTGGAACCCCGCAGCCCATTGCACTCACCTCCTGCCCTTGTGTACCCGACTCAGGTCCACTGAGTCCCTGCTGAACACATCAAACTCATCATTCTGGAAGACGTTGTGACGAGATGTCAGCAGAGGTGTCGGGTCTGGCTTCACCTGTCTGGGGGGTGGCACAGAAATCAATTTAACGGGGAATTTGCCTGCTGATGCCTACCTGCACCCCACTCCCTCCTACCATGTTCATATTTCCACTCCCCTTCAATAACCACACCTGGGACACAATCTAAAAACTTGCCCTATCTGGCCCCTGCCTGGTATGACCCACACTTTACATACACAAAGCTTCCCATTGGTCCTGCTTGACATTCACACAGATTTTCTTACAAATTCCCTCCCTCATTTAATGCTCACAACAGCCCTATGAGATAGGTAGCCACAGATCACTAAACCTCATTGTGCCTCAGTGCCCTTATCTGTAAAACGGGCACAAAATGGTGGAGAAACTTGTCCAAAGGCAGAACTAACTTAATTCACTTGTTCGATAAATATCATTTGTTCACGGAAGAAACACCTATTCATGCACTCGTTCTTGCTGCCCCATGGGCCCTTAGGGAAGCAATGGGCCAAACTCAGAAAGGGTAGGTATGAAGGATGCAAGAAGCTTTAGCCGTCCTTCCTCAGGTATCTACTGGGAAGGTGGCCAGTAACTTAAGAGCTCTGAAAGGCTCAGCAACCCCTTTCACATCCCACATCTCTAATAGCCTTCCCACGAGGTACAGCAAGGAAATCCAGCTGTGTACTCTCTGCCCTACAGGGAGCATGTAAGAATCTCTTGAGGAGTCTAAGGTTTGTATGTTTCCCTAAAGAGGACATTAGTTTAAATGGTTGGGAAACACTGCTCTGGGGAAAAGAGCAAGCTGAGTACTGGGACTTGAGGAAAGGAAGAGTGGGAAGCAGAGGAGCCAAGAAGGGGCCCTGACTAGGGCCCACAGAGCACCTCTGGCCAGGACCCTGATGCAGACTGGCTGTCATGAGCCTTCTCCCACCTGTCTCTCCCACCTGTCAAGGCTGCGGTCCAACTGGCTAAGGGCAGGGGCCAGCCGCTCCTCCAGGATGTTGTTGATCACCTGCTCTGGGTCATAGCCATAGTGCTCCAGGCAGGCCAAGATGAAGCCCTCACCAAGGTCCGGGAGAAGGTCCTTCACTTGGGAGATGAGTGAGTCTAGCTCCACACCACACACTGTGGGACCCAGGGCAGCAGCTGCCCCCAAGCACTGTGGAGAGAGCTGAGTGAAGGAGGGGAAGGCGAGGTCAGATGGGTGCTAGGGCAACAGGCCCCAAATAGCACTGGACCAGAAATTAGGAGACCTGGTTCAATTCCTGGCCCTTACTAGCCATAGGACATTAACTAAGTGACTTAAGTATCTCTGAGCCTCCATTTCCTCCCCTGTGAAAAAGGGGGCTCTAGGACTTACTGGCTGAGCTATTTCTGGCTGTGTGGACTTGTGAGGTGCTTCTCCTCTTGAACCTCAGTTTCCTCCTTATAAAACAAGCATACATACCAGCCGCCTCATAGGGTTGCTTCAAATGGTTCAAGGAAATAATGCACATAAAGTGCTGAGCACAGTACCTGGCATAGACCAGGCTCTCTATAAATGGCCATGGCTTCTGCTAACCAAGGTCCTTTTCAGCTCTAACAAGTTGACGGCTGGCATTGGAGGGGAACAGCAACCACTAGTCCTGGACTGTGTGGAGATGCTCTCCTTTAATTATACACTGTTCAATAAGGGAGTCAGTTTATAGACTGCTTGATGTGGCTTAATTTTGTTAGGCTTTTCATTTAAGGAAACTCCCAAATAAAATAAAAAAACATTCCATGACTCAGGTAAGAAGCCAAATGGGGAAGAAGGTGGGAAGAGTTGGAGGGGACTGTCATTTCCCAAGGCCCTGCGACAGTATGGCACCTGGGCTCTAACAAGAAGAATGTCAGTGTCTATTAACAAAGCATCGAGGGCCAGCCAAGTTCGGAGTGCTCCATGCAGCAGCTCTGGGAATCCCAACAACCTCATGGAGGTGCAAATGGTGACTAGCCCCATCTTACAGATGAGGAACCAAGGCTCCATGTGAGTGACAGTGCCTAAGGCCACACAGCTGGAAAGTGGCAGGACTTGGAGATACCCCTGAGCTGCCTGACCCGAGACTGTATGATCTTAATCTCTAAGTCATGTTGCCTCCAGACACGCGGAGAAGAGTCCTGGGCTCAGTAGCCAATCAGTACAGCCACAGACTTAGTGAGTTCTGGAAAAGCCTAGAGAGAAATCACTAGACAAGAGGTTTCCAAACTGGCTCAGTGGAGCCCTGCCACCCCTGGAGGAGCTTCCAGGGTGGCCAAGCAGTGAGGCCTGATACTGCACCCAGCTGCAACCAGAGCGGCTCCATTGTGAGCTGTTCAGAGGAGAGTGCCAAGAAGGACTTTTCTTCATTTGATAGAGGGGGAAACCGAGGCTTTGATCCTCAAACCTGACCCAGCATGTACTCAGCTCAGGACTCTCTAAAGGTAGCACAGGACTGACTAGCAGGTCGAGGCTGCCCATTCCAAAAAAATCTTTTCCCCTGAGAGCAGAAACAAAAGAAAGGTTTCCCGTTGCCCCAACCTCTCAGACAGGGATAGGAGGGGCTGAAGCAGGGAGAAAGCGCTACTCCAGACACACACCTCCTCTTCCTCCAGATGTGATGACGGTCCACTGACTGGCTCCACTGTCACCACGACTCCATTAAGATCCTTGGCCACTGGTGGCTCTTTAGCCTCTGTGGGTTTCCGTCGGTCCACCCCTTCCCACGCACTCTCAATCGCCTGGAGGATATAGGCAGTCCGTGTCTCATCTCTATGAAGATGCGTTAAGGGATCTCTCTTGGGTACCACAGACCTCTCTGCCTCCTCAGCTCTGAGGCAGCATAATTTCTCAATCTCTCCCCAGCGTCTGATCATATAGCTTCTGCCAGGGGCTGTCTGGAATGCACCCTAGCAGGCATAAAGGCACGTGGGCTGCATGAGGAAACAGGAGCTAGAGCCTTGGCAGGGATCTAAGGAAAGCCAGCTACCTGTGTGTTCTGGACTAAACCTCCCTCTGCTCCTCTGGGTTCCAGCAGCCTATCTCTGACCTGGTCAGGCCAGGTCCTATCCCAGTGCCATGATAGAAGGATACAAGACTGACGAGGCCTGCTGCAGCAAGCTGACATCATTGGCCACAGGGAAGAGTGCATCATAGTCCCGGAGGAACCTGCCAGACAGAGAGCAGATGGGAGGAACAGGGCTGGGCCACAGGGACACTGGTCTGCTATGGGCCACTCCCTGTGTCTGCTGCCCAACCACAAATTCAAGAATCTTAGACCTTGTGGTTATGTCAGAGGCTCTATTATGTAAAGTGTTGTGGGGAATGATGATGAAGCACCAGGGCTTGTCCCACTGCTGGTCCTAGCTCAGCCACACTCACCTCTTTTCCTGCAGCAAAGAGCTGAAGATCTGAAGGAACTCTTCAACGAAGCCCTGAATGTTGTCACAGCTGGAACAAGACACCAGGGAAGATGAGCTCACTCAATGCAGATGATATGCAGCTCCCTTCCCCGCCCACTCAACCCATCATGTGCAAAGCCTCTGGGCCAGCTGGAGGAAAGAGGCTTTTTTCTTGGTTCCCCATCCTGTTGAGCAACTCAGGAATTGAGAAATGAAGTGAGGGAAATGCCCCTGCTGGGCTTGGGGAGGAGGTTCTTCCACCTGGGTAGTGGCTCCCAAAGGCTTACCTATTTTCTGGGACAGGGAGAAGGCAGATCTGGTTCAGGAGAATATGAAAAATCTCCAGTAGCTTCTTCCTGGAATGGGACAGCCTCTGCCACAGATCACCAAGCAGCCTTTGAAGGCCAGAGGGAACACAGAAATAGAGATTTGAGAGACAAAAAGACACCAAGGAGCTTACTCCCAGCAGTTACAGCAACCCCCCAACCCCTGCCCCAGCTCCACCCCTATACACACCCTGGGCTGAGAGGGCCTCACAGCTCACTGTTGATAGCAGCTAGGAAAAGGCTACAGGCTCTGAGAGGCTGACTGGTTCCAGGGCCAATTCTCAGTTCAAACAGTAGGTCAGAAAGCAGCAGGCCAGTTAACAAGAGCTTACAGCAACAGGGGAGGGGAAAAGGCTTTGATGCAGGAGCTAGGAGGCTGCTCAGTAAGGATGCACCAGCCACAGGTGCGAGGCCCTTGGTCCTACCCCTTGACTTGGAGATGGGGATGCTAAAACAAGGCCTGTGCTCAGGCTTCTTTCACCCACAACAACACTCAGTGTTTTGTCCCCCTCACTTGCTGTCTTCAAGCCTCCTCTTCTTAATTGCAGACTCCAGCTCAGGAATTGCTATTTCATAAAAGGAAGCAAGTCTGTGGAGGCACACATGGGTAAAAGGCTAAATTAGTTCATAAATACCACACTTAATCAGAAAATCAAAGCAAACCCAAGAGAGCAGGAAGGCCCATTTCTTTCTCCCAAGTTGTCACCATGATTTTCTCCTGGGATGACCCTGGCTCTTCTTCAAGCTCACCCCAGATTGTCCCACTGTGGCAGATCCCAGGAAGAGGTCCCTAAGAAGTGACCAGTAGCTATATCTCCCATTCAGATAGGAAGCCATCTGATAGGCTCATTCTAACAGCAATGAGACAGCCACCCAGGATTCACTGAGGTTTGAGAAACAAACACAGGTCACTCTTTTTTTGTGCTCAAAAACTTCTAGCAGCTGCCTATCTCCTATGACATCAAATGGTAATTCCTCTCTGGTACATCCACACCCGGCACAGACTTGCTTCTCATCACGGCAACCTCACACCCACCCCTTACAAACTAAAATTTAAACTCTCCATTCCAGCCACACACTTCATCATCATGCTCACCCATGTGATTACTCCTTCCCAGAACTAGATGCATAACACTCGGAATATGTTGTCCTTAGAATTTAAATGCAGCTACCTCTCTTCTGTAGTATAATTCTATCTCTGAACATCCTAGCTTCCTGAAGCCAGAAATGCAGCCTATATGCCTAAGACAGTGCTAAAACTGTAGCAGGTACCCTGTAAATGTTTACAGATAAATGTTTGTCTGTCAATCAACTGACTTTTGGCAACTTCTAGCCTAGGGTAGTGCTGTATGTAGTAAAGGATAACTAGGCCAAAAGAAACAGGCCTTACTAGGCCCATGGATGACACCCAGAAGACAGAGAGGGCAGTTTGGCTTAGATTCAAGTGTTACCAGGATACACTGCTGGTGGGAGGATAAATTCGAACAACTCCTATGGAGGGTGATTTGGCAAGATCTATAAACATTTAAAATGTATATACCATCTGTTCCTGCAATGCTACTTCTAGGAATTTATTCCTCAGAAATACCTGCAAAGGTGCAAAAGGTGTGTGCAAAGTTATTCTTGTTTTTGTTTTGTTTTTACTTTTTAAATTTTATTTTTCAATTACAGTTTACATTCAATATTATTTTTTATTAGTTTCAGGTATACAACATAATGGTTAGAAAATAAAAAAGTTATTCTTCATAGCATTTTTTTGTAATAGTGAACAACTGAAAAAATCCTAAAGGTCCATCTCTGGGGTCTGGTAGCCCATACAATAGAATTCTATCCAGCCATACCAAAGATCAAGGGTACTTCTCCAAACAGGACACACAAATGTCCAAGAGACATATGAAGAAATGCTCAACATCACTAATCATCAGAGAGATGCAAATTAAAACAACAATGAGGTATCACCTCACACCTGTCAGAATGGCCGCCATCAACAAATCATCAAACAAGTGTTGGCGAGGGTGTGAAGAAAAGGGGACTCTAGTGCACTGCTGGTGGGAATGCAGACTGGTGCAGCCACTATGGAAAACAATATGGTGTTAGCTCAAAAATTAAAAAATTAAAAATTGAACTTCCATTTGACCCAGTGATCCCGCTTCTAGGAATATACCCTAAGAAGCCTGAAACACCAATCAGAAAGAATATATGTATCCCCATGTTCATAGCAGCACTATTTACAATAGCTAAGATCTGGAAACAGCCCAAGTGTCCATCAGTAGATGAATAAATAAAAAAGCTGTGGTACATATACACAATGGAGTACTTTGCAGCTGTAAGAAAGAAAGATCTCTTATCCTTTGAGACGACATGGAGGGACCTGGAAAGTATTATCCTAAGTGAAACAAGCCAAGCAGAAAAAGACAAATACCACATGATCTCACTTATATATGGAATATAATGAATATAACAGTCTGAGGAATAGGGTAGACCCAGAAACATGGAAGTAGGGTACAGACTGACAACCCTCAGAAGAGGGGGTGGTGGGGGGTGGGAAGAGATAAACCACAGAACTTATATGCATGTAGGCATAACCAATGGACATGGACAACAAAGCAGGGGACAGGGCGGGGGGGATGGGGAGGAGGGTGTCAATGGGGTAAAAAAGGAGAAACATCTGTAACAAAAATAAAATTAAAATAAAAAAGATCAAGGGTACTTTATGTATTGAAATACATCAAATTTAAAAGTACAATGCAGGACTTCCGGTCAAGATGGCGGAGTAGGTAAACGCGGTATCGCATCCTCCCACAACCACATCAAAGTTACAACTAAATTACAGAACAACTATCATTCAAAACCGCCTGAAATCAAGCTGAATGGAAGACCTACAACTACAGAATTAAAGCAGCAGCCACATCCAGACTGGTAGGAGGGGCGGTGGCGTGAGGGGCGGCGGCGTAAGGGGCGGCGACTGGCTGGTCCCACACCCAAGTGTGGCGGATAAAAATCAGGAGGATACCTCCGCTGGGAAGGTCCTTCTTGAGGACTGAGGGGTCCCCATCCCACACTAGGTGCCCCGCTAAGGGTTCCAGTGCCAGGAAGAGAAGTCCTCTTAACTTCTGGCTGGAAAAACCAGCAGGAACTGAGGCTCAGGGAAGCTGACGCGGCTGGAGCCCCAGGCAGCTCCTTAAAGGGCCTGCGGGCGAACTTATCAGACTCTCTCCCTCTAAGCTTGGAGGGGAGGCAGCTCGAGGGGCACCAGAGACATACAGGGAAGAACTGAGCTGTTTGGCACTGGAGCGAGGGCTGGAGAGGGGGCTTTCTCCGGGACTAACGTGCTGTAAGAGGCCTTTGTTCCTTTGGTGAGCCCTTCCCTGGGGCGGCAGACAGTCCCCATATCTGGGACTCCACCAACTGGCTCACACTGGTAGCCCCGCCCTGGTGACTTCTGAGGCCCCGCCCCACCCCACCCAACTTTCAAGCCCACCCAAGCTGTTGCCACTTGCTTAACCATAGGATTGGCCTGTCTTGGATCCTATTTCAGGTTTTCCTAAATTCTTTCAAACGAGCAGCATCTGGTCTCAGCGAGCCCCATACCTCTTGTTAAGTAATACACTGAAACAAACACAGGGAGGCAGCCAAAATGAGGAGACAAAGAAACAGGTCCCAAATGAAAGAACAGAACAAAACCCCAATAAAAGAATTCGGCGAAATGGAGATAAGCAACCTAACAGATGCTGAATTCAAAATACTGCTTATGAGGATGCTCAATGAACTTAGTGAGAACCTCAGTGAACTTAGGGAGGGCCTCAAGAGCATAAAAAAGGACCAGTTAGAAATCATGGATGCACAGTTAGAATTGAAGGAGGCATTAACTGAAATAAAGAATAATTTACACAGCTTCAATAATAGAGTATGTAAATCCAAGGAGCAAACCATCGATTTGGAATATAAGGAAGCAAAAAATGCCCAATCAGAACAGCAAAAAGAAAAAAGAATCCAAAAAAATGAGGATAGTGTAAGGAGCCTCTGGGACAACTTCAAGCGTGCCAACATTTGCATCTTGGGGGTGCCAGAAGGAGAAGAGCGAGAAAAAGAAATTGAAAACTTGTTTGAAACAATAATGGCAGAAAACTTTCCTAACTTGGTGAAGGAAACAGACATACAAATCCAGGAAGCACAGAGAGTCCCAAACAAGATGAACTCCAAGAGGCCCACACCAAGACACATCATCATCAAAATGCAAAAGGTTCAAGACAAAGAGAGAATCTTAAAAGCAGCAAGAGAAAGGCAGCTAGTTACCTACAAGGGAGTTCCCATTAGGCTATCAGCTGATTTCTCAAAAGAAACTTTGGTCCTCGCCGGTTGGTTTGGCTCAGCGGTTAGAGCGTAGGCCTGCGGTCCAGAGAGATCCGGGTTCGGTTCCCGCTAAGGGCACATACCTCGGTTGCAGTTTGTCCCCGGCCGTGGTTGGTCGTGCGGGTGGCAGCCACTCGATGTGTTCCTTTCACATCGATGTTTCTCTCTCTCTCTCTCCCTCCCACTCTACCTAAACAAAAAATGGAAAAATGTCCTCGAGTGAGGATAAAAAAGAAAGAAACTTTGCAGGCCAGAAGAGAGTGGCAAGAAATATTCAGAGTGATGAAAAGCAAGAACCTACAACCGAGATTACTCTATCCTGCAAAGCTGTCATTTAGAATCGATGGCCATATAAAGACTTTCCGAGACAAGAAAAAGTTAAAGGAGTTCATCACCACCAAACCGTTATTATATGAAATGATGAAGGGTCTTTTTGAAGAAAAAGATAAAATATATGAACAAACAAAATGGCAATGAATACATATCTATCAACAATGGAATCTACAAACAAAATGAACAGGTAGAACAGAAACATTCTCATAGATACAGAGAACATTTTGTTGGTTGCCAGTTGGCATTGGGGTTGAGGGAATGGGTGAAAAAGGTGAAGAGATCAAGAAGTACAAATTCATTGCTAGACTGACAAACCTCAAAGGTAAAGGGGTTGGAGGGGTGGGAAGAAATAAACCAAAGAACTTATGCATAATCAATGGACACAGAAAATGGTGTGGGAAAAGGCGGGAGGGGGGCGGGAGTGGGGAGGAGGGGGTCAATGGGGGAAAAATGTGGAACATCTGTAATACATTTTACATCCAACAATAAAGATTTAAATAAAAAAATAAAATAAAAGTACAATTTAGGGCTGGGTGGAGAGGGGCAAAGGTGGGAGAGGGGAAATAGGGGACATCTGTAATACTGTCAACAATTAAAAGATAGTACAATGCAAACAGTATATAGAGTACTCATGCCATCATTAAATTTTTTAAAGGGGCCGGGTGAGATATAATACACATATTTTCTTGTATATGAATATTTATATGCATATCTCTGGAAAATTCCACAAAAAAAACTAAGGACAATGGTTTTGTATGAGAAACAGAACTGAAGTAGAAGGAGAGGAAGATGTCACAATGTATTTCATACTTTTTTGAGTTTTGAACCATGTGAATGTATTATTCATTCATAAAATTAAAGGACACAAGAGAGAGAGATTCAAATATAATCAAGTATATACTCAAGAGGAAGGAGCAGAAGGTTGTTATGAGAGGGATTAGCTGAAGAGTTGTTTGGTGACTGTAACCCCTTGCAGAAAGCTCTCGGGGACTGAGGTTACTACATTTGTTCAGTGGGCGTTCCTGGCCTCCTGCACAGTTTGAACAGGATGGGCCAGCCCCAGGCTGTTTGTGGGTCAAAGGCAGTGTCAGTGTTAGACAAAAGTGTTTTCCTGCCCTGGCTGGTGTGGCTCAGTTGATTGGGCGACATTCTGCACACCAAAGGTTCCCAGTTTGATTCTGGCTGGGGCACATGCCCCAGTTGTGGGCTCAATCCCCCATACGGGACAAGCAGGAGGCAGGCAATCAATCTCTCACTCTCACATCGATGTTTCTCTATCTTTCTCTCTCCCTTTCTCTCTCTCTAAAAATCAATAGAAAATCTTAAAAAGAAAAAAAAAAGGGCTTCCCTTTCTTACCCCTCACCCTGAGATGAGCGCAGCCGCCCCCCTGCCTCCACTGTCCCTTGCAGGAAAGTCCATTCTTCAAAAAATTATCCCCCAATTCCAAAGACCCTTTCAAAAGCAATCTGTGCCACATTTAGGAAGACGCTGTAATGAAATGGGAAAATGTCTGTGAGAAGTGAAAATAAGCAGGGCACAGAAGACTAAGAATAACTGTCATGGTGATTCCTACCTTTTGGCCAAATTCCTACAAGCATCTGCCACAATAACCATGAGAAAGATACCTTTTTAAAAAAAATGGACAGCTATAGTACCATTCTAACCCTTCTTGGAAAAGTGTCGATCAATGCTTTATTCTAACATTCTCTGGGAGGCTAATCAATCCTGTCTGATTTTCACAAGCTGAGATGACCCACGAGTCAGAACAACACTGCCATCTCTGGCGTATGTCAGCACTAATATAAAGACTTTGTTGAATGGCCAAGTAAATGACTGAATGGACTGATGGCTGGGTGGACAGAGTTGGGCAGCTCCCAAAAGCTCTTTCAAACAGTGGAAAAAGATGCCTGGCAATAGCAACAGCCAGAGGCCACTGTAAACAGGCCACCCCTACTGTTGCCTGGCTACGTACAGGTTACCAGCCCATGTCCTGCACCCCTTTCTTCCTGTACAAGGAACAGATGCTCATGGTGCTAACTGAGCAAAGAGGGTCTCCCTCCCTGCTCCATATCTTCCTCTACCTCTTACCTCTTCCCAACAGGATCTATGACTTCATTGGATAAATACCTCTAATGACTCCCTTCTGCTTACAGAATAAAGGCCCTGCTCTCTGACAGAGTGTGCAAAGCTCCTCTCAATCTGACTTATAGCAGCTTCCCCTGGAGCCATCTCTTTGTTACCTATTTCTTTTCCTATTGCCCTGGTCTCCTCACCCACTGCTGTGTGTCGCCCTTCACTCCCTGGCTTTCCCAGGAATAGACTCTGGGCCTTCGAAGGCTTTACTCCACCAGCCCGGCATGCCCTTCCTGCCACTGCAATCTTTCTCTCTCTGGAAGGTTCTTGTTCATTCTTCCAAACCTTGTTTAAGAATCATGAAACCTCTTATTTCACCAGACAGAATTCTGCTTCCTTCCTCTGTGTACCCGGAGCATTTCATAATATGGCCACAACAGCCTGCCTCAATGTAAACATGTCTGCTTGTTTCCTTGTGTGTGTTTCTCTGCCCTGGACTAGATGCTTAAGTCCTCAGGCCACTTCTTATTGTCTATTACTCCCTTGTGCCTGCCCAGGATATGGGGCTTTGAAATAAAACAGAACTGAATTGAAATTGCCCTATTCTTGGTTGTTGGTTTTTTCCTCCCCTACCCTATTCTTAGCTCAAATGGGAGCGTTTCTAAAATGTAGGCTCCACACAAACAGGAGTCTTATCTGTCTTCTTCACTGCTGTGTCCCTAGGCTGGAGTAGGGCCTGGCATGCTCTAAGCACCCAGTAAATACTTGTTGAATGAGGATGTGAACTAGAACCTCTACTTCAATAGCCAGAACCATCGCAGTACCTGTAACAGAAGTCGTGTTTCTGGAAGGTTTGGCAAGCCAGAGGGAAGATTTCCAGAAAGGCCCATAGTGTAGTGCAGGTATCACAAAGGTAGAGAACAATGTCCTTTAATTCCTGTTGTCAAAAGAAAACACTGCATTATTCTCCTCCACCCCCATTACAGCTCTGTAGGGGGTCTGAGACAAAGTTGACAAAGCCAGGGGTCCCCTACAGGCAGATGCCTTGTGGTAGAAAGAGAACACTGGCAGTCTGGGCATAGCCTGGCTGGTCCATTTCTAAGAGCACAATCTGGACAAGTCATTCAACCTCCCCAACCCTTAGGTCTTGCTACCATAGCTCCAATGGGTGCACACCCAATGAGCTCTACGGTTATTTCTAGCTCTAGGATAATATGGTTCTCTTCTAAGGTGAAGGAGAACCAACGATTGAATCTGAACACAACACCTGTGGTCCTGCACAGAAAGTACATCCCAGTGAGAACAAGAATATCAAGACCACACTTTTCTTACATTTTTACGAGGGTATTCAGAATAGGGAGTGCTTTCTCATACTTTCCTGACTGTCATGACGACTTAGGAGAATTGTTATGAGGGGGCAGCTGTTAGAATCTCCATTTTACAGGTAGGAAACTGAGGTTCAGAGGTGTAAAAATGAACCCACAGCACTTGGTGTGCCCTTTTCTGTAATACTTGTTTAATGCCTATTCTCCCACGAGATCACAAGCTCCAGGATGGCAGTTCACAGCTGCCTCGTTCCTGTTCTTTCTCTAGTGCTTAACACAGTGCCTGACATAAGTCCAGACTCCTTAAATATTTATCTTCTCTCTGTCATCTCCATGAGACTTTAAGTTCCAAGACAGCACACAACATGTTTGCTTTTGCCTACTGCTTTACTCCCAAGGCCCAGGATAGGGCCTAACAAATGCCAGGGGTTCCTCAGAACAAATTCACTGAATGAATGAATAGCTAAAAGAATAACACATGAATGAACCTGTTAAACTGAATTAAGCTCTTGTCCTCTGAATTCTAATTCCCTATTCGTTCCACTACTCCCTCAGTAAAGCTTCCAGAGAAAAATGAAAGCCTGCTGAAATGCTCTAAACATGACAGGAATAGCTGCCTATAGAACTGGGAAAAAGGGACCATGATCAATCAGGGCAACCTCACCAGGAGAGGCATGTCACTAGGGGTCAACCGGCCCCTCTCTTCAAGCTTCTGGGGTATGGAGCTGGTCCCGTCCCTTTGCAAACCACTGTGCTGGAGGATATTGCTGAAGACCTGTGAAACACAAGAGGTGACTATCCCACAATCTGTCAAACCAACAGCTAGGACCCCTGTCCTGCAACCAGGGATGGTTGATCTGAAAACTGCCTGGAATCTATGCCAGCGCTCCCAGGACACTAGCTGAGACAATGATCTTCTCAGACAGCAGGGTCAGAGTAGAAACTGCAGAATAGAGATGATGGGGATATTCTTTTTACAGGATTATGGTGAGGATTAAAAAGACAAAAATATAGCCCTGGACGACGTGGCTGAGTTGGTTGAGCATCATCCTGTGCATCAAAAGGTTGCCAGCTTGATTCCTGGTCAGGGCACATACATATTTAAAATATTTAAAACATATTTAAAATAAAATAAAATGTGCCCTGGCCAGTTTGGCTCAGCGGTTACAGTGTCGGCCTGCGGTCGGAAGAGACCTGGGTTCAGTTCCCGCTAAGGGTATGTACCTTGGTTGTAGTTTGTCCCTGGCCTTGGTTGGGTCATGTGGGTGGCAACCACTGGATGTGTCCCTTTCACGTCTGTTTCTCTCTCTCTCTCTCTCCCTCCCACTATATCTGAACAAAATATTGAAAAATGTCCTCAGGTGAGGATTATAAATAAATACATACAATACAATACAATACAATACAATACAATACAATACAATAAAAAAATAAAATAATAAAATAAAATAAATAAAATAAAATAAAATAAAATAAAATAAAATAAAATAAAATAAAATAAAATAAAATAAAATAAAATGTATGTAAAGCCCCCAGAATCTTAGAGATGTTATCTGACTGGAGAGACTGGACAACTGTATGGTAATATTTAAGACATATATTTAGTAATATATAATGTGATTTTGGATCCCCTGTAGATGTCACTTATGAAAACTATATTGAAATAAAAGACAAATCAACAGCAAGAGGAAAACAGAGCCAACCATAAAATCATGTAAATCTTTAACTGATTGTGCCATCTTTAAGGATGCTCGTGTGTAACTAGAGTTGTTCCTCGGTATCCTTTGGGAAATGGTTCTAGGACCCGTCATAGTACCAAAATTCACAGATGTTCAAGTCTCTTATATAAAGTAGCATTGTATTTGCATAGAACCGATATACGTTATCCCGTATACGTTAAATTATCTCTAGATCACTTATAACACCGAATCCAATGTAAATGCTATATAAATAGTGATTATACTGTACGGTTTAAGAAATGACAAGAGCCCTGGCCGGTTTGGCTCAGCGGTTGGAGTGTCGGCCTGCGGTCTAGAGAGACCCGGGTTTGGTTCCCGCTAAGGGCACGTACCTTGGTTGCAGTTTGTCCCCAGCCCTGGTTGGTTGTGCGGTTGGCAACCACTCGATGTGTCCCTTTCACGTCGATGTTTCTCTCTCTCTCTCTTTCTTCCTCTCTCTCCCTCCCACTCTACCTGAACAAAAAATGGAAAAATGTCCTCGGGTGAGGATAAAAAAAAAAAAATGAAATGACAAGAAAAAAGGCCTGTACATTTTCAGCACAGACCCAACCATCATAGGCCTAACTATACAGCACACATCAGCAACAATGTAACAAGAACGAAATATCTTTTCACCCAGCCGGTGTGGCTCAGTTGCTGAGTATTGACCCATGTATCAAGAGGTCACTGGTTGGATTCTGGTCAGGGCACATGCCCAGGTTGTGGGCCCGATCCTCAGTGGGGGGCATGCTGGAGGCAGCCAATCGATACTCTCTCTCATCGATGTTTCTATCTCTCTCTCCCTTCCTCTCTCTCTAAAAATCAAAGAAAAAAAAATTTTTTTAAATACACTTTTCGATCCATGGTTGATTGAATCCCCAGATGCAGAATCCATGGATATAGAGGGCCAACTGTATTCTAAAACTTACCATGAATGGTGACTTATCTCTTGGTGATGGGATGGAATCACGGAAATATTTATCGCCTATTTTCTGTTTGTTTGTTTTTTAATTTCCCCATTTTTTATAATGAACATTATTTCATAAAATCAATTTATAAAAATTTAAAGCTCTTGTCTAGCTGGTATGGCTCAGAGTGGTTGGGCGTCGACCCATGCACTGAGAGGTCACCTGTTCGATTCCCAGTAGGGGCATGTGGGTTGTGGGCCCGATCCCCAGTGGGGGCATGCAGGAGGTGGCCAATTGATGTTCTCTCTCATCGATGTTTCTATCTCTCTCTTCCTCTCATTTTCTCTCTCTCTCAAGTCAATAAAGGGAGAAATTTTTTTTTTTTTTTTTTTTTTTTTTTTTTTATCCTCACCTGAGGACATTTTTCTATTTTTTGTTCAGGTAGAGTGGGAGGGGGAGAGAGGAAGAGAGAGAGAGAAACATCGATGTGAAAGGGACACATCGAGTGGCTGCCACCCGCACGACCAACCAGGGCCGGGGACAAACTGCAACCGAGGTACATGCCCTTAGCGGGAACCGAACCCGGGTCTCTCGGGACCACAGGCCGACGCTCTAACCGCTGAGCCAAACCGGCCAGGGCGGGAGAAATTTATTTTATTTTATTTTAAAGCTCTTATTTGAGAAACCTAGCTCTCTTAGAAGGGTATTTCTAGAGGCTTATGGCTGTCAGCAAACACAAAATGTAAGCCAAGCTCTTTCTGTATGAGTATAGTACTTGACAGCCCTTAGATTTTAGTCCTGTTCAAGAGGGGAAAGAATGAATTTAAAGTGATGTGGTGAGGAGCAGGACACTGAGACCGTCTGGAGATGGGAGGGGTGTAGAGAATAAACATTTCTCCCAGGCTCCAGAAAGTCAAGGTATACCATCAGGTGGGGAGGGGTTCTGCTTCCCAAGCTCGCCCTCCCCTGGGAAGTGCTTAGAGCTGTTACCTGAAGGATGGTGGGCATGGTTTCATCCAGGTCATTATAGTAACTTGGTTGCTGGATAAAGATGTTTCCTGAAAAGAGAAGAGAAAGATGAAAATTGGGAAAAGAGAGTGGGGGTGGAGACGATACATTACAAACGGTTGCTAACAGGTTCTGTGACCTTTCTCCCCTTTCTTAGGCTTGCCTGAACTAGAGCAGTCCTGGCCCCAGGCCCTGCTGGCACTGAGCTTTGGCCCAGCCTAGAAACTTCCCAGGGTAGGGGAGGAACTTGCTCGGTACAATTTAACCTTTTAAGCACCTCTGCCTGGAGAATTACGTAAAAGACCTGACCTGGTCAAACCAGCTCCTCCTGATATCCCCAGGGAGTGATCTCACTTGGGCACTGTGCCTTGGATGACAGCATCGGCTTTGGAAGTAGGAGTTAGTCATCCAGGAAAATTAGGAGATAGGATCTCTTTGCTCAAGAAACCTGGATGCCAAAATCCAGGATTCTTGCCAGGCCACATCTCCAATAATGTGAAAGAAGAATCTAAGGAGAAATGTCTTTAGAAATTTTCTCACCCTCTGCTTTTGAATATGCTAGCCATACTTATAGATCCCACTCCAAGGTGAATGCCTTTGAGGGACATGAAGACAGATTTACCACCCATTTGCAATTGTTTCTATAAAGTAAAGCTCCTCTCTGAGTGTTTACTATCCTTGAATTGCTGCTGCTGTGAGCAAGTAGGTTAGAGCATATGATAACTGGAACAGAAACCAAATGTTCTGGCTGCCCAAATGGCAAAGGGAGGGAGGGAGAATCACTACTAGCTGGGGACCGGACATGCAAATGCCAACACCCTAAGAGGCCAGGGTTCTTCATCTCACTCTAATCCTAGCATTTAAGGTTGGTTGTCAGGATGTTCTGCATTCTAGGTGTCCTCTGTCCTTGGCAGGTCTGCTCTTGGTTGCTTTATGAAAACCCTGCAGCCCTCACCCCATCCCAGAGGATTTATAAATGAATGAGAGCAAAGGCCAGATGGGGTTGGGTGAGTAAGCAAGTAACTAGGTGACTGGACTTTCTGTAAACACGTTCCTGGGTGCTACTTTGTTCCTTGATTCCAGAAAGTTGAGTTTTATCAGCATGATTGCTCAGCACCTCCTACCTGAGAGGTCCATGGTCAGGAGTTTGGACTTAACCTTGATGATACCGATAGGAGGGTTTTATGAGGAAGAGCAGAGGTTGGTGGAGAGATAACTCAGTAACTCCTTGCCTGTCAGGAGTAGGAGGTGGATACAGATGGTCAGAGAGTACCTTCACAGGTTGAGGGATCCTCCCATAATTCCTGGGGCCACACCATGGCTCCCCTCACACCCCAACCATTTGGCATGGGGAAAGGTACTCTTTCATCATCCTTCCAATGCTTAAGCCTGAGTAACAGGGATGTTTTACAACTATCAAAAGAGATCACATTTTACAATCTACTCTTGGGGACTTTGAAGTCCCTTTCCTCTCCTTTATCTGAGCTAACTTTTGATCTCTTAAAGAAATAATTAAAAGGTATGGGACAGGGCCCTGGCCAGTGTGGCTCAGCTTACTGGAGCATCATCCCAATGTGCCAAGGTTACGGGTTTGGTCCCCGGTCAGGGAACATACAAGAACCAACAAACAGCCCTGGCTGGAGTGGTTCAGTGGATTGAGTGTCATCCCATGAACTGAGAGGTCCCAGTTCGATTTCTAGTCAGGGCACATGCCAAGGTTTTGGGCTTGGTCTCCAGTGGGGGGTGTGCAGGAGGCAGCTGATCAATGTGTCTCTCTCACATTGATGTTTCTCTCTCTCTCTCTCCCTTCTTCTCTAAAAATATTTTTAAAAAATTTTTTTTCTTTATTGGTTTTTTAGAGAGAGAGGAAGGGAGAGAGAGATAAAGAAACATCTATGAGAGAGAACATCGATTGGCCACCTGCATGCCCCCGCAATGGGGATCAGGCCCACAACCTGGGCTGGTACCCTGACCAGGAATCGGACCAGCGACCTCATGGTGCATGGGTTGGCACTCAACCACTGAGCCACACCGACCAGGCTAAAAACACATTTTTTAAAAAAAGAACCAACAAATAAATGTATAAATGGGTGAAACAACAAACTGATTTCTCTCTCAAAAAACTAATTAAAAAAAAAAGCAAGCGATGGAGAAGGGGCAGGGTAAAGACTGGGCTTCTGCTCTAAGGACCATCAGCCAATTCCCTTGCTCCCTTCTTCTCTCCTGTATATGTAGGCACCTTCTCCACATCCATCCCCAACACACACACAAAATGAATAAGCTCCTGATGCCTGGTGTTGCCAAAAAGTCAGTGATTCAAAAGATTAGGGCCCTGGCCAGTTTGGCTCAGAGGTTGGAGCGTCGGCCTGCGGACCAGAGAGTCCCAGGTTCAGTTCCCACTAGGAGCATGTACCAAAAAAAAAAAAATTTAGCCCTGGCTGGTTTGGCGCAGCGGTTGGAGCGTCGGCCTGCGGTACTGAGAGACCCGGGTTCGGTTCCTGCTAAGGGCACGTACTTCGGTTGCAGTTTGTCCCTGGCCCTGGTTGGTCGTGCGGGTGGCAGCCACTCGATGTGTCCCTTCACATCGATGTTTCTCTCTCTCTGTTCCTCTCTCTCCCTCCCACTCTATCTGAACAAAAAATGGAAAAATGTCCTCGGGTGAAAAAAAAAAAGATTAGGAACCCTGGCAGCAGGCAGAGCTTTCTCCCTCTACCCTTGCCTGTCTGGATGTGTCATCCTCCCTGGATCCACACAGCCGTCTTACACCCAACAGATCTAACCTTGACTTTGCCTCTACTTACAACCCACTACCCCACCTCCCAAAGGCCTTTTTTGCAACTGATACCAGTTTTCTCCAGAATCAATAAGACTTCTCCCTCCAGTGGACCTCACTAAGCTCTGTTCTATTCTGCCTCCCGGATGTCCTTTTTCTCCTCAGCAGCACAACCAGTTTCTCACCTTCAAAGCCACAAAGAAGCACTAGCCTCCTATGTGGCTTCCTGTCACCACCCTCCCCAACCACATGCTGCCAGTTAACCTTATTACCAGATAGCTTCCCACCCTGCTTCAAGCTCAGTGAGACTCCTATGTCTCATCACAATAAGAGCTCACACTTACTTACCAAGTGCCTATAACATCCCAGGCACTGTGCTGAGTACCACCTCATATTTAATCCCCACAACCATCCTATAAGGTAAGTATGTCACTCATCTTCTTATTTATTTATTTATTCATTTATTTATTTATTTATTTCCTCACCTGAGGGCATTTTTTCGTTTTTTGTTCAGATAGAGTGGGAGGGAGACAGAGGAGGAGAGAGAGAGAAACATCGACGTGAAAGAAACACATTGAGTGGTTGCCACCTGCATGACCCAACCAGGGCCGGGGACAAACTACTATCGAGGTACATGCCCTTAGCGGGAACCGAACCCGGGTCTCTCTGGACCGCAGGCCGACACTCCAACCGCTGAGCCAAACCGGCCAGGGCGGTCTTCCCATTTTTTAGATGAGAAAATTGAGCTAGGAATAGAGCTGGGGTATGAACTGGGCAGTTCATCTCAACAACCAGCCTTTTTAGCCACCAGCTATCAATACCACTCCCCGAAGCCTGGCATTGATCCCTCCCTGATCTGGCCCCAGTTTCCACTTCTTTGTCTCCCAGAATGCTCCACTCTAACCAAACTGGCCTAATAACTGTTTCTCTAACTAAGCATGCTTGCTCTTTGCTCACTCACCCCATCCTCTCAGTCTACATTAAAATTATTAAGGGTCTTTCCCTGGGAAAATAAAATAAATTAACTGGTGATCATCCATTAATTAGATCTGAATGAGAAACCAGAGGTTGTTGTGATGAAAAACTGGACATGAAATTTCATATACATTATGCTCTGATATGTTTTTTAAAAATATACAGAGAGCCCTGGCCGGTTTGGCTCAGCGGTTAGAGCATCAGCCTGCGGTCCTGAGAGACCTGGGTTCGGTTCCCGCTAAGGGCATGTACCTCGGTTGCAGTTTGTCCCCGGTCCTGGTCGGTTGTGCGGGTGGCAACCACTCGATGTGTCCCTTTCACATCGATGTTTCTCTCTCTCTCCCTCCCACTCTACCTGAACAAAAAGTGGAAAAATGTCCTCGGGTGATGATAAAAAATAAATAAATAAATAAAAATACACAGAGAGAAAAGACTGGAAGGAAATAATCACCGAATGACTGTCTCTAAGTGCAGGAATTTGGTAACTGCTTTCCTGCTCTATATTTTATATTCTTCCAGAATTTTCTAAATTAACATAACATATATTACCTTTATTATTAGGGTTAAAATGGGGAGGAAACTATTTTAAGCAATAATTCAGCTTTGTAACTGGGCATTTGGAAGACTATGTCTTACAATCTCAAGGTGAAGAAGGCTGAGGGTGCCCAGGGTGAGCACCTCTCCATGCATGGCCCGATGCCATGAGCTGCGATTCAAAGGGCATTGTTTCCCCTGTAGCATCCCAACAAAGCTTCTGTCTCTGACTAAACCTTCCAGCCCAGTGCCTCCTGACAGGATCCAAATGCTGACATCATCCCTTTCACAATCCAAAGAGTTCTCTCTGAACTCTGCCCCCATAAGTTCTCAGCAACAATGCAAATCATGACATTTCTGAAGCAGCCCCGTCATCCCTGAGGCAAGGAACATGAGCTCGCGAGTCAGGCCTCTGTGACATAAATCCCAGCCTGGCCGCTTATTAGTCATGAGCTCTTACATTTTAACCTCAGTTTCCTTATCTGTAAACAGGGAGGTGACAGCATTTACGTCACAGGGCTGCTATGAGGATCAACTGAGACAACAAGAGGAGTGCTCAGCCCCCCAGTGAGCACTCAATAAAAGCTTAGCCATCACTGCAGCTCTTACTCTTATCACCAAAGCAAACTTCCCCATTCTTTCAACTGTTTAACACATGGCCTAATACTAAGACCCCAAGATCCTTGAGGAACCATGTGGTACATTTTTGTCTGTACTCCCCCATCGCCACCCAGGTACTTTCAGAGTTTACATGCACATATCTAAGTCATTTTCAAGCACCCCCACCCCTGCTGCTGTCATCTAGGCAGTACCTTCGAAACCTCTAGTTTGGCACGTGAGGGACATCTTTGCGCATCCCCCACAGGTCCCATGCCTTACTCACCTATCATCTTCTTGAGCAGTGATGAGTTGCCTTTTCCAAAGAGCACGCAAAGGTCCAGGATCTTTGGGATGTCAAACAGGAAGTTATTGTAGAGGATTTCTCCAAATGCAGAGGGAGAAATGAAGTGATCCTAAGGAACAGTGCAGAGAAAGGATGAGAGACTTTGTGAAAGCAGATGCATTATAAAGTAACAGCAAACTGCACTGGCTGGTTTGGCTCAGCAGTTAGAGCCTTGGCCAGAGGACTGAAGGGTCTCAGGTTTGATTCCCGGTTAAGGACACGTACCTGGGTTGCAGGTTCAAGCCCCAGCTCCAGTTGGGATTGTGCAGAAGGCAACCAATGGATGTGTCTCTCTCACACTGATGTTTCTCTCTCTCCCCTTCTCCCTCCCTTCCACTCTATCTAAAAAATCAATGGAAAAATATCCACAGGTGAAGATTAACAAAAAAAAGTAACAGCAAATGCACAAGAAACAAGAAACAACCTTCAGGTCCATCAACAGCGGACTAGATAATAAATGAAGGTCCATCCATTCTGTGGACATGTCTGAATCTCATATACTGACCTGAAGCAATACCCATTCTCCACTTTAATGTAAAAAGCAGCAAAAGTACACTATGAAAAAGAAAAAGAAAAAAACTCTGGGGGAGCCCTGGCCAGTTTGGCTCAGGTTAGAGCATCAGCCTGCGGTCCAGAGAGATCAGGTTTGGTTCCCGCTAAGGGCGTGTACCTCAGTTGCAGTTTGTCCCCGGCCCTGGTTGGTTATGCGGGTGGCAGTCACTCTATGTGTCCCTTTCACATTGATGTTTCTCTCTCTCTCTCTCTTCCTCTCTCTCCCATCCCACTCTATCTGAACAAAAAATGGAAAAATGTCCTCAGGTGAGAATAAAAAATAAAAAACAACAACTCTGGGGGAAAAAGAAAACTAAATCAGCAAAAACGATGTTGATAATTGTTTAAGTTGGGTGTTCATTATGCCTTTGTATATATTTGAAAATTTCCATACTAGCCCTGGCCGGTTTGGCTCAGAGGTTAGAGCATTGGCCTGCAGTCCGAGAGACCCGGGTTCGGTTCCCGCTAAGAGAGCGTACCTCGGTTGCAGTTTGTCCCCAGCCCTGGTTGGGTCGTGTGGGTGGCGGCCACTTGATGTGTCCCTTTCACGTCGATGTTTCTCTCTTTCTCTCTCTCCCTCCCACTCTATCTGAACAAAATATCTAAAAAATGTCCTCGAGTGAGGATTAAAAAAAAAAGAAAAAGAAAATTTCCGTACTATAACAGTTAAAAAAAAAGATCCTATTTTTAAAACAAATATACTCACACATACACACTGAAAGGGGAAAAAAGAAATTCCCTAAAGGAACATGCATCTTAACAGTAGTTATTTGTTACTACTGTTAAGGGGGAGAAAGGACTTTGTAGGTAACCTTCACTACCAACAAAATTATTTGGTAATGTTTGTGTTGTTTAGAGACAGCATTATTATTATTATTATTTTGGGTATGTGCCCCTAGTGGGAACCGAACCCGGGACTCTCTGGTCTGCAGGCCAACACTCCAACCACTGAGCCAAACCGGCCAGGGCTATTATTTTTTAAAATATGTTTTTATTGATTTTTTAGAGAGAGAGGAAGGGCGAGAAAGATAGAAACATTGATGTGAGAAACACTGATGTGACAGAAACATCGATTGGCTGCCTCCTGCATACCCACTGGGGATCGAGCCTGAAACCCCGGCATGTACCCTGATGGGGAATCAAACTGGGACCTCTCAGTCCATGGGACAATGCTCAATCCACTGTGCTACACCAGCTGGGCAGTATTATTATTGTTGTTGTTATTATTTATTGATTTTAGAAAGAGGAAGGGAGAGAGAAAAAGTGGGAAACACTGATGTGAGAGAGAAACATCCATCAGCTGCCTCCCACATGTGTCCCAACTGGGGATCAAACACACATGCAACCTGGGTATGTGCCCTGATTGGGAGTGGAACCCAGCACCTTTTGGTGTGCAAGATGATGCTCCAACCAAGTCACACCAGCCAGGGCAGCTGCATTATTATTTTTTAAATCAGGGGTAAAAAAGTAAAGGTTTTAAAAAGCACATACAAGTTCCTTTCAAATATCAGAATCAGTGTTTTCACCCTCTGACGCACAAGAAAAGGCAGAGTCACGCGTCAACTGGCAAAGGGCCCTTGGCTCCCATTGATGAAAACACTGGGTGTAATGCAGACCGACCCAGTGAATTAGAGGATAAGGGAGGTGGCACAGATTTCTTCCCCAACAGTGGGAATAAAGGCAGAGAAGAGACAAAGAGGAAACTCAATACTTCCACAGCCTTCCTTCCCAGGGATAGAGAGTCCAGCACAGAGGTGTTAGGTGTCGGTGGTGACCTATCATGGGATCAAGGACTTACTTTGGATTCCTTGTGAGTGGACATGCGGAGGAAGGTGAGAAAAACGCTTCGATGGAGGCGCTTCTGCATGTCAACAACCTCGGGGGCTGGGGCCACCCACTCGTCGAACTTTCGGGGGACATAGTGCAGGTAGGAGTCCAGGCACTTCTGCAGGGTCTCATCGAAGATAACCTAAGCCAGGCAACAGAGGAGAGCAAGGATTTGTTAACGACACACAAGGGCTTGTGGGTGGACTGCACAGGGGCCACATCAGCCCTGGCCAATGGTAAACACTCCAACCCCAAGGGACTAAGAAGGTGTGAATGAGTGAGGGCTAAACACAAGTTTCTAAAAATGACACATTGGAAGGTGTTGTATAACATCAATTGTGATACAAGACAGAGCAGTCCAAACCACAATTTGTTGTTAAGGATCCAGTGAAAAAAGTAGAGAGAAAAGCATCTCCTAGGGGGAGAGAAACAACAGAAACCAACCAAACAGCATGTTATGTGCTTTGTCTTAGCGTTAATTTTGATAGAATGTTACCTGGCACCAGAATTTATCGTGAGGCAAGGCCAGGAGCCAGTCGAGGTCATTGGCTACGAAGGTGGCGCGCTCCAGGTACTCCTCCACTAGGGCGGGAATGTTGTCTTTAGGGGGCGGTTTGTATAACACAAAATACCGGTCTGCCTTCTGCTCGGGGTGCTACGGATCCAAAAACCACGTGTTAACGTGGCAGAGGTTAGTCAGCAAGGGCCCATTTGCCAACCCACAGCAATGACAACACTTGGCTGTTCCAACCGGTAACCCTCCAAGGAGCTTTTAAGCATAAAGAACCAAGTGTCTCTAACAAAGGGGCTTGGTTGCACCCAGGGAACAACACTAGGAGGGCATTAAAAACCATGTTTTTGGAGAATATTTAATGACATGGGGAAAGGTTAAGGAAAGAAAAACCTCTCTATTTAATATAATCAGTTTGGGGATTTAAAAAAAAGTAGATAGATGGATAGATAGATAGATAGATAGATAGATAGATAGATTTAACCCATTCACATATTGGTACAGGCTAAAAAAAGCTGTGTGTAGGGAACAATGCTCCAAAGCTGATAGTGGTCATTTCTGGTGGGAGGATTTTGACTTGAATATACTTTCCAATGAAAAAAATAATAAACATGTATTCTTTTTAAAAATTATTTAATTATACACGTGAGAGGTGAGTATCTTTTTTTTCAAAAATTTACAACACTACAGAGAAGGTGAGTTGCCTGGGACCACAATCCCAGTCCTATGTCCTTCCATCCGGTGAGTGGTGAGTATCCTTGCAGACCTTTCCTAGGCATTTATGTTAAAATATACCCATATAAGGTGTTTGTTTAGATGTTTTCATCTTTCTCACAAAAATGATATTATTCTGTATGTATCATGCTATATCCTTTTTATAATCAGGAAAAAAAAACCCTCAGTAATTTTTTTTTTTAAAGAAAAGATGCTAGTCGAGTAATTGCAGGTCTTGGCTCAGAATCACAAGTTCTCTCTTCCAACCCCTACCTTGCCATGAACAAACCTCACTTTGTTCACCATATAGAAAAGACGATGAGCCCTGGCCGGTTTGGCTCAGCGGTTAGAGCGTCGGCCTGCGGTCCTGAGAGACCCGGTTCGGTTCCCGCTAAGGGCGCGTACCTCGGTTGCAGTTTGTCCCCGGCCCTGGTGGGTTGTGCGGGTGGCAGCCACTCGATGTGTTCCTTTCGCATCGATGTTTCTCTCTCTCTCTCTGTTCCTCTCTCTCCCTCCCACTCTACCTGAACAAAAAATGGAAAAATGTCCTCGGGTGAGGATTAAAAAAAAAAAAAAACAAAAGAAAAGACGATGAGCTCAGTTTTATCCTCTGACTACATACAGGCTGCTTTCTCCAAGGGAAATGGTAATAGGAGGAAGACCAGGCAACATCTCAGCTGTTATCAACCACAATCTACCTACTTCCAGGTCTGTCAGTCCAGGAGGGACAGGAAAATCATGTCTGATTGTCAGTCTCCTTGAGAACCACTATGCCTCCCTACTGCCTAATTCAAGTTTTCAAACTGTGGAGTCTTTGGGTTCCATAAAAATTCCTTGGGGGACACCTATTGAATGGGTCTTCAGAACCCTTCCCATTTAAATTAGAATTTATACAGTAGAGTTCCAGATACAAATCTTTTGAAAAAAGAATCCTACTGACTGAAGCAAGTTCAAAACTACTCTCTAAGGCCTAAATTCATCTCCTTGGTTTCCTAGCTCCCCCACAACTCTATCTGTGGACATCTCACCTTTTAGGTCATTTCTCAGGCCAGGCTTCTCACCCATCCCCCACTCTGAAACAAACACACACACCCCCACCACCCCACCACCCCAAAATTCTACTTTCCTTACAACCCTACAAACATTGACTGGCACCCTGCTGTGCCAAGTGTGGTGGGCACATTGAAGAAAAGCATCTGTGCTCACAGAGATCACGCTCCAGAGGAGGAGATGCACATCTAAGCCATCAAGTGAGCATAAAACAGAGCAAATGACAGCTCGAACCTGGCAAAGGGACCATGGGAGTGCAAAAGGGGATTAACTGTGCTTGGAGGATAAGGGACAGCTAGCTTTCCAGAGCAGGCAGCATCTGAGCTGGGCCTTGGAGAATGAGAAAGGTTTTTAGAATAAAGAAACAGTTATTTTTATGTAGGCCTCAAAATGGGCCATAAAAAGAAAAGGCACAGATTACACTGGGTGGTAAGAGATGGATTCAGAGGGAGAGCACTGGAATGATGAAAATAAAAGCCACCACTTATTGAGGACCTGCCCTGTGCCGGCTGCTGAGTAGGTATGTTTCACAGCCTTTCTTCTTATTTTTTAATTTTTTTGTTAATCCTCACCAGAGGATATTTTTCTATTGATTTTTAGATAGAGTGGAAGGGGGTGAGAGAGAGAGAGGAACATCAATATGAGACACATCAGTTGGTTGCCTCCTGCACACACCCTGACCAGGGCCAGGGATCGAACCTGTAACCTAGGTATGCGCCCTTGACTGGGAATCAAACCTGAGACCCTTTAGTGTGCAGGCCAACGCTTTAACCACTGAGCAACACTGGCCAGGGCCACAGTCTTTCATTTTTATCTACAACAACAATTTAAAAGGTTTACAGAGGAGGAAATAAAGACTCAGTAAGCTTCAGGAACTTGGCCAAGGTCACAGGGCTAAGGAAGCAACTGAGGCAGGATTTGAACCAAAGCAGACCTATTAACTGACCTATGGTACCCACATGCCATCCTGGTCTCACCGTTTGTCCTTTTGACCCCATCCCTGACCTCACCTCCTCCACGAAGTCTCCCCAACTCCCACCCCTGACTAGATTAGTTCACTTGGACCTGCACCTGCACCTACACTCTGTGCTTCCCCGACTGTAGCACTTGAATTGCCTCAAAGGTGCTTTCATGACAGTGGTTGCCAGGATGAGGAGAGAGGAAGGGATGAATTACAGAGTGGCACAAATAAACTTTTGGAAGTAGTAGAAATGTTCAATATCTCGATTACGGTGATGTGGTGATGGATTCGTGGGTGTATACAGATGTCAAAATCAATCCAATTGTATATTTTAAATGTGTGCAGTTTATTGTCCTTCAATGATACTCTAATAAAGTTACATAAAAAGGAAGGGCCTGCCCTGGCCGGTTTGGCTCAGCGGTTAGAGCGTCGGCCTGCGGTCTGGAGAGACCCGGGTTCGGTTCCCGCTAGGGGCACGTGCCTCGGTTGCAGTTTGTCCCCGGCCCTGGTTGGTTGTGCGGGTGGCAGCCACTCGATGTGTCCCTTTCACGTCGATGTTTCTCTCTCTCTCTCCCTCCCACTCTATCTGTACATAAAATGGAAAAATGCCCTCGGGTGAGGATAAAAAAAAAAAAAAAAAAAAAAAAAGGAAGGGCCTGCCTACCCTGTCTACCCCCAATAGACTATAGGTCTCCGGAGGAAGTCTGAGCCTTGCTTACCCCATTCCCAGTAACTAGACTAGTGCCTGGCATCCAGCAGACTATCCATATACATTTGCTGGCTGGATAAAGGAATGAAGGGAGGTATGAAGGACCAGATACTGCCAAGGTCTTTGAAGAACCTTGAATGCCAAGCTCAAGAGTAGGGACTTTATTTAGTAGGTAAGGGGGGCCATGGAAGATTTCAGGACAGGGAACAGCAGGCCCCAGCTATATCTTCCACCCTTCAAACCTGGCTTAGGTCCCACTTCCTTCATGAAACGTTTTGAACATTCTCTGCCCATTAAACTTCTGTTTATCTTGATAAGAAACCATTTTCTAACATTCTCCAAATGCTCCACTTAAATGAGTCTTGTCTTCCCTACAAGCTCATTCTCCCATTCTGGTCCAAGACTTTCTTTTGGATCGTCAATAACACTAAGTATGCACTGTGCACACAGTAGCTACTCAATAAACATTAGCTTGATCCATCACCCTACAAAGGCAGTATGGTGGCAGTCCCTTGGCTAGAGAACTTCTTGTCCCATGTTAGGACTAAAGAGACAAATACAGGGTGGATATATACCTCAGGGCAATCTTTCAATAGCTTCCAGTGGCCGGGAGGGTAACCCTCTTCAGCATGGCCCAAAAGACTGCTCCTCAATCAGGCAGCTGTTTCCCTCAGCTCATACCTCTTCCCACTCTACTCCCCATTCAATGCTTCTGTCACTATCACTGTTATGATCACCACCATCATTGAGTGCTTACTATGTTCTAGGCACTTCATGGCCACCACACAAAGTTGGTTCTATTATTACCCTTTTTAGATGCTGAGGCATGGAGAGGTTATGCAACTTGCCCAAAATCACACAGTCAAGTATGTATGAGACTTAACTCAAAGCTTGAGAGATACTGTTTTCACCTCAAGTGACTGACTGGTGGTTGGTGTAAGAGTCAGGCTCTCTCAAAACAGCATACTCGGGTCCTCCTGCTGGGTCTACTCTTTTCCCATTGCTCTGCCTGGCTGGTGCTTATTCATCCTTCAATATCCAATTCAGGACCTCCCTCCTTCAGCAAGCCTTCCCTGGCTTCTCATGCCCTCTCATTACTCCCAAGACTTCCCTGCTTCCATACACCCTTTCAGTCTGGATCAGCATCCTGGACTTCCTTGTATTACAACACTGATCACGCTGTAGACAATCTACTGGTCTGCTTTTCTCTCAGACCATAGGCCACTCAAGGGCAGGAACCATGTCTTTTTTCTTTGTAGCTCCAAACCCCATCACAATGGCTGGCTGGGGTCCTTGACTCATTTAATAAAATTTTCCTGGCACTGGGAAACCAGAATGAAGAGAAGGCACCAGGTCCCTACTCTCATGGAACCCACAGTCTAGCAACCCAGGTGTTCAGTATGAGTGGAAGGACTAAGGTAGAAAATCAGACCCAACCACTCAAGGAACCAGTCTCCACCAGTACTGTCCAACAGAACTTTCTGCAAAAATGAAACTGCTCTATACCTGCGCAGGCCACCACTTACCACATGGGGCTATTTTAATTTAACAACTAAAATTAAAATAAATATCCAGTTCCTCAGTTGAACAACCCACAGTTCAGGTGCTCAATTGCTACATTCGGCAAATGGCTACCATATTGGACAGAACAGTTCTAGATTTTCTGATAAATATCTTCCTTATATAAAAAGGTTATATAAAAAAAAAAAAAAAAAAAAAAACCCTGGCCAGTTTTGCTCAACGGTTAGAGCATTGGTCTGTAGACCAGAGAGACCCAAGCTCGATTCCCACTAAGAGCACGTACCTCTGTTGCAGTTTGTCCCCGGCCCCGGTTGGAATTTTGTGGATGGCAGCCAGTCGATGTGTCTCTCTCACATTGATGTTTCTCTCTCTCTCTTCCCCCCTCTCTCCCTCCTGCTCTATCTGAAATGCAAAAATGTCCTCAAGTGAGGATTGAAAAAAAAAGGAACACGAGGTTTTATAGCAGAAAGGTTAAGGGTATGAGCTCTAGGGTCAGCCTAACTGAATTCTCATCCTGGCTCCCCTAATTTCCTAGTTCTGTGACCTTGAACTCTCAGTTTCATCTGTAAAATTCAGACAACCAAAATACCTACTCATAGGGCTATGGTGCAGCTTGAAAGAGATAATTCAGGTGAAGTGTTTAGAAAGGTCTGGCCCAGAGCGTGTGCTCTATGAGTGCTAAATACTGTTATTAGAGAATAATTAGGAAGTAATAGGAAGCCATCAGAAAGCAGGAAATAAAACACCAAGCTCTTGTTTCCCACGACTTTACTCAAGCCCCCAGAAAATACTTCCTCCCACCTTGTTCAGGTAAGCTCATATTCTTGGGAAAAGAGCAAGTGGGTACAGGGACTCTAGTCCCTGTATCTGTCTCCTTCTTTAGCAGCCTGGCACCTCTCGGTGGCTCTAATCTCACTCTGCAGCTGGTAATAGGCATGCTCAGAGCCGCCTCATTTTTCAGTCTGTATGTGGTGCTTCTTAGCCCATTGAGATAAAAGACGGCTGAACCTCTGAAATCGGTGTCCCCCCCAACCCCCAAGTGTGGATAGCAGCTGAGATAGCTCTGAAAAAGGCCTACCTGAAACCTGAATACCTGCAGGGTCAAATACCCAAACCCGGCTTTGGGATGAATTCATTCCTGGGCCAGCTCAGGCTAGTCAGAACTGCCCTCAGACTGTGATTGAAAATGAAATGCTTTGGGGGAAGGTGTGGGGTGGTGACATGGAAAATACTACTCAAATTCAAGGTGCTGCTTGAAACAGAAACTTCTACACTGGGCCTAGAAGTAATATAGTGTCACAGTTACTGAATTACTGACTGTGGCCCTGAGTTCATTCTTGGAAGATAAAGAAGGAATTTACTTTCCACTTTTGAAATTGCAAGAATGATAATATCGGGCTGAACGGCCTCAAGGCACCGGCTCACCAGGGCTGGTGAAGTCCTCAGCTTTCCTGTCTTCAGGTCCTTGTGGGTGATCTGGAGTTGGTCCAGGGGCAGAGCTGGCATTGTGCTTCGTGTCCCTCCTGAAAGGAATATGGATGGGAAGAAGAGAGCAGACACATAGGCTCTTGGTGGCAAGGATCTGCTCTGGGGTTGATCCCAGAAGCTGCAACCTCTGGCCTCAGGGGGCTCCTGATTTGGGCTTAAAAGGCCTGGTTCCTGTACCTACTAATCCAAACTACAGTGACTTTTTTTTGTCTAAAGCAATTTTCAACTCAGGAGGAACACACTCCCCATGGGACCCCTGATATACTCCCACCCACTTTGAATACTAGTTAAAATTACCTAGATTATCTGTATTATGGCTCCAGCTCCGTGTCCTCCTTGGCCTGTGAGCTCTGTGAAGACAGTGCTCAGGCTCTCATTCTCTTGCTAACTTTCCCATGACCAGCACTGGCTGGTAGAGAGGTGGCCTCATCAAATGTTTGATGAACAACTGAACAGGATACTTTTCTTATAACTCTAACTAGATTTTGAGTTTTTTGAGGGTTGAAGCCATGGGCCTTTTCTCACTTATAGAGTGTGTTAAGATTTTACAACCTCTCTAGGCTTCATGGAAGAAGGACATGGATGAACATAAGGACCAAGGAGGATGACAGAATTCACAGAAACTTGCCAATGCATACTCCTTTCTATAGAGACCCAAATCGGCATCAGCGTCAGTGAGTGGAAGACCCCAGGCCTTCTTTCTCCCATCTAATGCTCTTTTCACAATACCATTTGGCCTGACCCACAGGAGGGCCATGCATATTGGCTGCATCATGAAATGAAGTGAATTAGACCCTTTAAAAAACATAAAAGGTCAGCACAGTCTCAATGAAGACATATCAAGGCCAGGATGAGGAAACCATTATCTCCTGAGCCCTCACAGGTAAGCATGGTCAGCCATAAGTTACATGGGTTAGATATGTATATATGGGTGTCCATATCTCTGATATTAGGCCAGGGCCTGGTGTTAGAAAGACACACTGATAAGTCAGGGTCTCTGCCATGAGAAAGCAAACATCCAAAAATAGTGACAAAAACCATAAAAGCAACATGTGTTGGCAACTCTTCTAAGTGCTTTTCTCAGCATTAATTCACTTTACACATGTTAACTCACTTTACATGTAATAATGTTTATAAAAACTCTAAGGTTGGTTCTATTATTATCTTCATTTTACTAATAAGGAAATAGAGGCTCAGAGAAGACAAGAAACTTGCCCAATGTCATACAGTTAGTAGTTGGGGAAGCCGACTGGTTCTTAACCATTTACTGTACTGAGTGTACTATAGTGTTGTGCTTGAGGGGTGTGTGGCTGTCAGGAAAGCATTTCTAGAGAGCCTAAAGGATCAGGAGAGCCTGAGTTGTCTTGACAGGAAACTGGACAGGGAAGAAGAAAACAGTAGAGAAAACAGCAAGAGCAAAAGTAAGGAGGTGGGAAGCAGCTTGGTACATAAGGAACTTTGCTTGGTTCATGGGCTGCTTTAAAGACTGAAGATATTCATCTTAGAGGAGTATAAACAGAGAGGACCAGTCTGTCTAGTCTTTAAAGCCTGTTCCAGCTCTAGAATCTCAGTGGATCAGACACATTGTCCTTGTACACATTAAGTGGCCTGAAAAAAAAAAATCACAAGGTTGGAATGAGTTTTAATCTTTCAGTTTTGCAAAATGTTGATAATATCCTCTGTTGCATGTACATTATCTCTACTTGAGTCACTATTTGACATGTCTCATAATAGCTAAGGATGACAAAAATTATTATGCTCGGATGTCCAAAGAGAGACCCTGTGCTCAAGGCAAATGTGTTAGTAGCTAAGATGAAACTGAAGCCCAGCAATTCTGCCATGGCACTGGGGTCTCTTGTGTTGAACATGCTAAAAATACTTATTTCCTAACCCTCACCCTGTACCCCATCAATGCTGAGAAGGCAAGTGGAAACATCGGTGGTCTTCTTACCAATGCAGAAGTTTAAATGACTATAGGCCCAGTCCTTTCCTTGCTTACCTTCCAAAGATGGTAATGGGAATGTCTGTGTGGAGACCTAGGGTAGGGAAAGAATCATAGGAGGAGGCGGCTCTCCTTCCTTTAAATTCTAGGCCGTGAGTCCAGGTTTAGACAAGTAATGACAGCATCTACTTTCAGAAAAAATCTTCTCCTACAAGCCAGGGCCTGTAAGGGCAGTTCAGACCCAAGCTGGTGCAGTGGTTGAAAGAGAGCTTTATAGTTCTGCAGCTGGGTTCAAATCCTGGCTCTACCTTTTCCTATCCATGTTGAGACCTTGAGATAGTTCCTTAACTTCTCTAAGCCTTGATTTCCTCATCTGTAAAACTTGGATGACAAAAGTACATAATCCCTCAGGGTTGATGTGAGAAGTAATCAATGCTAAGTGTTCAACACAGGATTTGGTATATAATAAGCACTCAATAAAGTTTACTTATCATTCAAGCCCCAACCATAGGCAGAGCACTTTGGGTTTCTTCATTTACTCAGCAAACTGTCAATACATTCTGGGTCCTGGGCAAGTAAATGACTCTCATTCGCTGTGGTTACAGCTATAAAAGGAAATTTCCAAAACAAGAACAGCAGAGAAAGGGAGAATGTCACAGAGATAGTGACCTATAATGTGGCTGTTAAAGGATAGTAGGAAAAAATGGGAAGGAAGGGCATTCCAAGCAAAGAGCAAGTATGAGCAAAGGCTCAGAGCCTGTGGTTTCGAAAGAAGTGTAAGACATTAGTATGGTTGGAAATACAAGGTCAGGGAGGGGATGACTGAAGTGGAGAGAAGATGTTGGATAGGAAAGATGGGGCCAGTTTTTTAAAAAGCTTTGAATGCTGTGCTAAAGATTTTGGCCTTTCATCTGAAGGCAGTAAGGAGCCATTTAAGTAGAGGAGAGACATGATCAGAAAGAGAAGACAATAACCTGGTGGCAGGAAAGACCTCCTAGGAACCACTGGAGAGCATAGACATTGTTAATCATCTCATTCATCTACTCAAAAATTTCTGAGCATCTCTTATCCAGGCACTGAGGCTTGGAGAATATAAAGTGAGCAAATAACAGGTCTAGTCCTGCCCTTCATAGAACTTATAGTCTTTTTTTTTTTTTATCCTCACCCGAGGACATTTTTCCATTTTTTGTTCAGATAGAGTGGGAGGGAGAGAGAGGAACAGAGAGAGAGAGAGAGAGAAACATCAATGTGAAAGGAACACATCGAGTGGCTGCCACCTGCACAACCGACCAGGGCCGGGGACAAACTGTAACCGAGGTACGGGCCCTTAGCGGGAACCGAACCTGGGTCTCTCAGGACCGCAGGCCGACGCTCTAACCGCTGAGCCAAACCGGCCAGGGCAGAACTTATAGTCTTTAAGGGAAAGACAGTTAGTAATCAGATAGCTATATAAATAAGTAAAACTTGCCCTGGCCAGTTTGGCTCAGCAGTTAGAGCATCGGCCTGTGGTCCAGAGAGACCCGGGTTCGGTTCCCACTAAGGGCACATACCTCGGTTGCAGTTTAACCCAGGCCCTGGTTGGGTCGTGCGGGAGGTGGCTACTCGATGTGTCCCTTTCTCTCTCTCTCTCTCTTCCTCTCTCTCCCTCACACTCTATCTGAACAAAAAATGGAAAAGTGTCCTCAGGTGAGGATTAAAAAAAAAAATGTAAATAAGTAAAACTCAACACTGTTATGTATGTGCTATGTAGGTAAGGTCCATGGAGCTATGACAGAGAGGACTGACTTGACAGAGAAAGGTTGTCCAGAAAGATTTGAGTTTTCATCTAAAGTATGAGCAGAAATTAACTAGGCAAAGAATTAACTTGACATTCCAAAAGGATAAAGACAATGATCATGACAATATATGTGCTCACCACTGCAAGCCCAGGGCCAAGCAGGACGGCAAAGACAAAAGTTAGGAAAGTGCTTTCTTTAGAAGGGGAGCTCAGTGCAAGCACCAATTTCTCTAAGGCAGTGGTTCTCACCTTCCTAATGCTGCAACCCTTTAATACAGTTCTTCAAGTTGTGGTGACCCCCAATATAAAATTATTTTCGTTGCTACTTCATAACTGTAATTTTGCTACTGTTATGAATTACCATCAGAAATATGTCTTTTCCGATGGTCTTAGGCGACCCCTGTGAAAGGGTGTTGACCCCCAAAGGGGTCGAGACCCACAGGTTGAGAACCGGTGCTCTAAGGCCTGGGTGCATTCTAAGGCCTGGGTGCATTGCCAGGCTACTGCTGCATCAGTTTCTCTGACTGTCATCACCCTTCTGGTCTCAATTCATGATTACTCTCTTCAAAGACTTTACAGACTATCCTATCAGACTATCCTATCTAAAGTATTCACTCCCCTCGTTACGTCATATCTTTAATTATCTTGTGCATGTATCTGTCATTGACTGTCTCCTCCCACTAGACTGTACACTCCATGAGGGCAGGAGCCTTGTCTGTCTTGTTTCGTTTGTATCCGCAGTGCTTAGATCTGTGCCTGGCACAGGAGAAACTAGACATATATTTGTTGAACTAATGAACGAACCCTGAGGAAACTGAACGATTCACGGTACCCTTATCCCAGGGTGAGGGTGCGAGGACCATGACTCGTTCCAGTCACTCTGGGGCCGAGGCTCGAACCTGAGACTTCCTGGCCTCGGTGGGGTAGGGTGGCGACTCACGGCTCCTGGGGCAGCCTTGGCCCGGTTGTGGAGACAGAGAGACCCGAGGCAGCCTGAGGCACGACCGCGGCTCCACCCAGGCCTGGTGCCCGCATCCGGCAGAGCCCAGCCACACACTCACCTCAGCGGCTCCACTAGCACCGTGCCGCCGCCGCCCCCGCCGCTGCGGTCCACGGTGACAGCTCCCAGAGAGCTGGCACTTCCGGGGTCAAACGGCGATTCCGCAGGCACTGACAGGAAGCCTCGACCCGGCCCCGCCCCGGCGCCAACTGCCGCTGGGAAGCCAGGCTCTGGGCCACGCCCCTATCGTAAGACTCCGCCCTCACAAGAAACCAGTCCGACTGTAACCACGCCCCCATACCCTCTACCTTCTTGCTTTAGGCAGAATGGATGGAAGGTGAACCAGGAATAGGTTGTGATTCCACATCTTGAAAAATCCAAGTATAACACTCGGCTTCTCCGAATCCCACTCTTCCATCTCTTTCTCACCTTCTCATTGTTTTACAAGTTTGTTTATTTGTTTGTTTTATCCTCACCTGAGGACATTTTTCCATTTTTTGTTCAGATAGAGTGGGAGGGAGAGAGAGGAAGAGAGAGAGAGAGAGAGAGAGAGACATCAACGGGAAAGGGACACATCGAGTGGTTGCCACCCTCACAACCTCCGGGGACAAACTGCAACCGAGGTACATGCCCTTAGCGGGAACCAAACCTAGTCTCTCCAGACCGCAGGCCCACGCTCTAACCGCAGAGCCAAACCGGCCAGGGCTCGTTTTACAAATTTCATACAGAAAAATTTTAACAAGTCAAAAGCATAAACATGATGTTGAACGAAAAAAAAGCAGGCGAAGTAGTACAGACTTACATAGGAAGTTCTAGATCAGGCAAAACTAATGAGTAGTGATGGGGTTAAGATGGCGGTTACCTTTGGGGCTGGTAACTTGTGGGGGCCACAAGTAGAGACATTCCCTGTCCTCATCTTGGGGTAGCTACATAGATGTATTCATACTAGAAAAGTCATCAAAAACATTTTTTTTTAATTAGGAAGGCTGTGTATATAACTATCTTAGGAATAGAATCCATTTTTTCCACAGACTGTTTCAAGTGGTGTAGTCTGGCTATGAATCAGAATCATCACAGAAAGCTGGTTAAAAATACACATCTCTGGCTTCATCTCAGTGCCTGGCACACAGTAAGGATTTGAAAACCACCACCATTATTATCACGAGGGTGTTATGGAAGCCCAGTACCCTCCTGGTGCCAGGTCCTGCAGTATGCACTAGGGCTACAAGGAATGACAAGCACAGTGCCTGTCCTCCAGAAGCTTACAAGGTAGGGGGTGGGTAGCAAAAAAAAACAAAAACAAACAGCTGCCCTGGCTGGTTTGGCTCAGTGATTAGAGCATTGGCCTGCAGTCAGAGGTCCCGGGTTCGGTTCCCGCTAAGGGCATGTACCTCGGCCCCAGTTGTGGTCATGTGGGTGGCAACCACTCGATGTGTCTTTCTCACACTGATGTTTGTCCCTCTCTCGTCCTCCCTCTCTCCCTCCTGCTCTATCTGAAGATACATGCTATGAGGTAATGTGATAAATACAGGATGCTGAGGAATTAGGGGAAATGGGCTCTGAATCAGAAATGAAATTGGATCCTGTATGAGTTATGTAATGCTGCCTAACAAATTACCACAGACTTTGCAGCTTATGACAACACACATTTATTACCTCACATCTTCTGTGAGTCAGGAATCTGGCATGGCTTAGCTGGCTGCTCTGCAACAGGGTCTCCCACAAGGCTGCAATTGAGGTGTCACCCAGGGCTGGAGTCTCATCTGAAGGCTCATCTGAAGAAGGATCTGTTTCCAAGCTTATGTGGCTGTTGGCCAAATTCAGTTCCCTGAGGGTTGTTTGACAGAGGGCCTCAGTTCCAGCTGGATTTTGGCCAAAGGCTACCCTCAGTTTTTCACATGGGCTTCTCCACTGTGGCAACCTGCTTCTTCAAAGCATTCCAGCTGAGAAGACAATAGGGTGAGTCTGCTAACAAGACAGAAGTCACAATCCATATATCCTAATCATGAAAACGGCATCATCTTACCATGTTCTGTTTGCTATGAGCAAGTCACAGGTCCTGCCCACACCATGCAGAGGGGACTTACACAAGAGCATGAATTCTAGGAAGTAGCAATCTCTAGGGGACATCTGAGAATCTGCTTGCCACAGATACTTAGAGAACATTCATAAACCCCAGAACTTTAATCCATCCCAGGCACTGAACTAAGTATTTTACATATTTTATCTCCTTGACTCTTTATAAGCTTTATAAGAAGTATAAACTATTATTATTCCATTCTATAGTGAGGTTTAGAGACTAGACCAGTGTCACAGAGCTTGTAAGTAGGTAGAGTAGGGATTTGAACACAGCTCTGTCTGGCTCCAGAGCTTGGCCTCATAATCTACATACCAGGGGCCTGCCCATCCTCCACGAGGCACGGTTGGGAGTCTCAAGTGCTGGAAGAATTCTGCAGCCAAATGCTGCAAGCCGCCTCAGAACAGTGGATATTTCCCTTTATTGCTGTCACTTTTCAGAGAAACCTGATTATCCACTGATATGAAAGGGACAGAAAAAGTGCCGGAAAACACCCCACCCCCCCCCATCAGGTTTTTAAAATTTTTTTTCTTTATTGATTTTAGAGAGAGAGAGGAAGGGAGAGGGAAAAAGAGAGCTAGAAACATCAATGAGAAAAAAAACATTGATTGGCTGCCTCCTGCATGCCCCGCACTGGACATTTGGCCCACAACCTGGGCATGTGTCCTGATTGGTTATCGAACCTGCGACCTCTTGGTGCATGGGTCAACACTCAACCACTGAGCCACACCAGCCGGGCAGGATTTTTGTTTGTTTGTTTGTTTTTGTTTTATTCTGGTACCACACATATTGAGCAAACAGAAACTATAATCTTCATCTTAGTGATAGGTTGGAAGGAAATCATGTGTAGCAGCCTTTGGTACAGAGAAAACTTAAAACAGGACTTGGGCAAAATGTATGGATTGGTTTTGTCTTTCTCTATGGGTGTTAATATCACTGTGGTTTTGGAGCTAAATAACATGACCACAAATAACAAAGCATCCAATAAGACATCTAAACTCTCCAAACATGTCTCCTTTTCCTCATCTGTTAAAAGGGGTCATTAAACCTACTTCATCATCATTAGGAGGCTTAATGTGAGAATATAGACAATGCCACGCCCATAGTAGGTGCTCAAGACATTTTGGTGGAGAGGAGGAAGAAAGAAAGGAAGGGAGAGAGAAAGAAAGGGACCAAGAGAGAGACTTCCTATCAGTTTGGAGTATTAACTCACATTTCTTTCATCTTTTTCTCTTCTTTGCCTGAAGAGATTAATAAGAAACATGAATTTCCCAAGGAAGCATCATTGTCTGGGCTAACATATGTCCAACAGGAATGAAATTAAAAAGCCATTTTAATAGGAGAAGCCTGAAATCATAGATTAGTCACAATATGGAATTTCTGGGCCTCTATTCTCTAGATTAAAAGAAAAACAACTAATTTATTTTAAGAGCAAATATATTTGGATTGGCAAAGAAGGTGAGTGTCTGTGCTGCTCATAACCAATCAATTCTAGGAATAACTAAGGAGAAAAACTGTCAATAGTTGGAGTTAGGAAATCCACATAGGAATATCTGAGCCTGAGTCCTGCCTGGCCCTGATGCCCTGAGTCACCTAAAATGAATCAGTAAACCTTTGTGCTTCAATCCTCCAGCAAGTGAGTGTTCATGAGGCACCCACGCTTGTGTTAGCTGTTGTGTGGCTCACCCAGTGTTCATTTCTTCTATTTCCCCACTAACTGTAACTTGATTACTCCTCAGAGAACCATCCCTCTTGCTTCGGTCCTCTTGGAGTAGGAAAGAGTATTTAACCAGAGTTGAGGGGTATGCAATGGTGTTAGTTATCTACCCCTGTGCAACAAATTACCCTAAAACTCAGTGACTTAAGACAATGCTGTGCACATAGTAGGTGCTCAATAAATTTTAGAGAGGAACAATGAAGGGAGGGAGGGAGAGAAGAAGGAAGAATACTTTCTGTCAGTGTTAACTCTTATATTTCCTTCATCTTTGTTTTCTCTCCTTTGCCTGAAAAGATTAATGAGGAATGTGACCTTCTAAAGGAAGCATCCTTGTCTGAGCTAACATATGTCCAACTGAAACTAGATTAAAAAGCAACTATGGCCCTGGCCGGTTTGGCTCAGCGGTTAGAGCGTCAGCCTGCGGTCCAGAGAGACCCGGGTTCCGTTCTTGCTAAGGTCACGTATCTCTGTTGCAGTTTGTCCCTGGCCCTGGTTGGGTCGTGCAGGTGGCAGCCAATCGATGTGTACCTTTCATGTTGATGTTTCTCCCTCTCTCTCTCTTTCTTTCTCTCCCTCCCACTCCATTTGAACAAAAAAATGGAAAAATGTCCTCGGGTGAGGATAAAAAATAAAAAATAAAAATAAATAAAAAGCAACTATGAATATTAATCATTTATCATCATACATGGTATCTGTGGGTTAGGGATTAAAAGAAAAACAGTTTTGAAAGGATGTTTGTCCTATTGCACTGTTCAAAGTGTGTATGTTCTTTGTCTGCAGGCTCCCCTCAGTTCTGGGGGAGTTCTGTGTGCTGGGTGCACTGGCTCAGAGAGTGGCTTCACCACCTCTGGCTCCTTAGAGCCGCAGAGACTAACAGTGCTTCTCTCCAGGCAGTGGGATTAAGGGGCTTCTGTTGTTGTTTTCCTTGGTGGATTTTGGCGTTTTCCGTTACCTGTTTTGATGATGTATTATTTTTTTAATTGGAGAAAAATTGTGTACTTTAAAGTAAAATGGGGGAGCTTCTTGAATATCCCCACAACATGGTCCCTGGCTTCCTTCAGAGGAAGCAATTCAAGAAATCAAAGTGGCTTGACAGGATGGTTCTGGCTCAGGGTCTCTTGTGAAGATGCAATCACATGTCAGAGAGGACTGCATTCATCTGAAGTCTTGATCAGAGCTGAGGAATCCATGTTCAAGATGGCTCATTAATGTGGCTGGCAAGTTGGCACTGACTTTTGACAAGAGGCTTCATTTCCCCTCTGCAGGGCTGCCTGAATATTCCCACAACATGGTCCCTGGCTTCCTTCAGAGGAAGCAGTCCAAGAGATCAAAGGAGAAGCAGCAATGCCTCCATGACCTAGCTTTGGCAGCCATACATCATC